TTTAAACTTGTTTGTTTGTTTCAATTAATAATTATTGTTTCATTTCAAGTGGGTTCTTCCTTGTTACACTGCAGTTTACAGGTGGCTTTTTTTGTTATATAAAGAGCCCTATTATAGTTGTTTTTTTCAGATAAAATGTACACATAGGAAATACAAATGCCACATAGCAAGTTCAAATGCCACATAGAAAGTTTCACGCCACATAGAAAATTCAAATGTTCAATAGGAAATTTTAGTGCACAATTGTGCGTAACAAGTTCAAATGTACAAATAGCAAATCCAAATGTAACACAATTGCAGTTCAAATGCCACATAGCAAAAGCAAATATCCTCCACAAAGATTATTCAGCATGAAAAGCATTTTAATATGCTCAAACTGAGTTGACGACAACCATAAGCAGTTTAATTTTAAGGTGAATCGATCACCATTTAAAAAATCCCAAGGATGCCCCCGCGGAATGAAATTCAGATAGGACTGAAGCAACTAGACATCAATATGCAGCATGGCTGATGCAGAACATATAGCGGTATGAATTTGCCTTCATCGATGAGGCTGGTATCAAGCAGTTAACGGAGTGGTCAATGCTTTGTTCGAGTAATGCAGGGTTGAAGGGGACCGAATCGCCCAATGCCATAGGGGCCTACTTTGCTGTCAGTGACGAGGGTGGCCTGGTCTTTCACGACTTTCAAGTAGAGGGAATGGCAGCTTTCGTTTCAACCCATCCCTCTAAGAAACTGTTCCAACAATCCCCACAACGAAGTATGCTTTGTATGTAACAACGCTCGTGCACCAGGGCAGGCTTAGTGGTTAGGCTCTCGGACTCGCAACCGTAAGGTCGTGGGTTCGAATCCCGTCAGGGGCCGGACGTTATGTCCTTGGGAAAGGCACTTTACACGTATTTTCCTCACTTCACCCAGGTGGGAATGGGTACCCGGTTATAGGCAGCGAAAGATCTTGTCAGTTTGTTACTGTTTGAGCGCTTAATCAGCTGCTTGCACTGTATGCTTCCCGGGAAGCTGAGAATGTTTCGGAGTGTTCTATGGTCTGCTGGGGTAATAAAATATAGTGTAAAGCGTATAAATGGCAACTCATCACTAGATTGGGAAAGAAATATTTACCACCCCCACCCCCCTATACACCTTTTCTTAACGTCTACGAGAACGCTTGTGAATTGGGAATTACGATTTGAAACAGTGGCTCGGTGGAGCAAAAGACCCACTGCTCACTCAGCTGACTCACCAACAAAAGATGGTCACACTTGCCCAGATGATGGAGCAAAAAACACAAGCTGTGAACTGTGACTGTAGTGAAAATGGCAGCAGCCTTCAGACCAATGCAAGCCACAGCATTTTGTAGAGCAACAATAAGTAAATAAAAGTATACTTGGCTTAAGATTTCACTCAGTTAGTTCTCTAATATACCAGAAGTTTGTTGATTTGTATCATACCCTTTTGTTTCTGTTTTAACATATGGGTTTATTTTCAGTTTTTAATATAGTTAACTATTCGTTTCATTTCACATGATTTCTTCCTTGTGGCACCACACGGCTTACGTCTACCTTTTTCGTGGCCAAAAAACCCCCAAACCTTTTTACTTCTTACCTTGATACTCCTCTTACACTTTTAGCCTCCTTTTTAGTTATAGTAAGAGTTGTACGGCACTCGCAACACAATAAGGTCAAGTAAGTGCCGAAGATTAGTGGAGTTACAAGAGAGTAACAGGCACAAACAAGAAGGAGGAGAGATCAGGATGATAGACGTTACATAGGAAAGAAGGAGCAAACAATACCAGAGCACTCGCCAACCACCCACTTAGCCTCCTTTTACTCTAGTTCAAGCATATTTACATTTGAACTTGCTATGTGGCATTTGAATTTGCTATGTGTTACATTTGAGATTTCTATGTTTACATTTGAACTTGCTATTGTATTAGGACTTTTTATGACGTCATTTGTATATTTGGATTTGCTAGGTGTAATTTGGTCTTTCTATGCGGTCTTTGAATTTTGTTATGTGTATATTTGAACTGAAAAAACTATATTACTTCTCTCGTTTATTCACTTCTTAGTTTTGTTTTTCGTTTCAGTTTCCCTTTTCTCTCGTTCAACTATATTTACATTTGAAATTGCTAAGTGGCATTTGAATTTGCTGTGTTACATTTGAGATTTCTATGTTTACATTTGAACTTGTTATTGTTGTATTTGGACTTTTTATGACGTCATTTGTATATTTGGATTTGCTAGGTGTAATTTGGTCTTTCTATGCGGTCTTTGAATTTTGTTATGTGTATATTTGAACTGAAAAAACTATATTACTTCTCTCGTTTATTCACTTCTTAGTTTTGTTTTTCGTTTCAGTTTCCCTTTTCTCTCGTTCAACTATATTTACATTTGAAATTGCTAAGTGGCATTTGAATTTGCTGTGTTACATTTGAGATTTCTATGTTTACATTTGAACTTGTTATTGTTGTATTAGGACTTTTTATGACGTCATTTGTATATTTGGATTTGCTAGGTGTAATTTGGTCTTTCTATGCGGTCTTTGAATTTTGTTATGTGTATATTTGAACTGAAAAAACTATATTACTTCTCTCGTTTATTCACTTCTTAGTTTTGTTTTTCGTTTCAGTTTCCCTTTTCTCTCGTTCAACTATATTTACATTTGAAATTGCTAAGTGGCATTTGAATTTGCTGTGTTACATTTGAGATTTCTATGTTTACATTTGAACTTGTTATTGTTGTATTTGGACTTTTTATGACGTCATTTGTATATTTGGATTTGCTAGGTGTAATTTGGTCTTTCTATGCAGTCTTTGAATTTGTTATGTTTATATTTGAACTGAAAAAAAAAACTATATAAAGAGGGGGGGGGGGGGAATGTGGTGTGCTCATTCCTTCAACATGTCTCATATAACACAGACAATGGATGCGAACTTCATGTATGCTTATGGTACCCTTGCTGTTGTGCTGGCCCAAAGCTCATGAAAGCAGGCTGGATAGCAGGACGTGGTTCACATGAATAAGGATTTGATGTGGACAGATTGGTATCTGCACAAGGTGGAGCAGCAGAAGCAGTCCTTCGCATAGACTTCTTTGGAGGCACTGTAACGTTAGTAGATGGTCGATTTATAGATAATAAGCGTAGCTGTGGATCGTTCGGCAGCTGAATGGCGAATGAGGCCATGGCAGCGTGTTATGCGTTTATATGGTAGGGGCGCAAAGGTCGCCGTGTCCAGCTCCTGCTCGCAAACCCGTTAAGCTCATTCAACCACACTTGGCACACGCATTAACGACTAGACACAGTTACCTATACAGCAAATTTGCCAGCACAAGCTTCACAGCGACGGTGCAGGGCATGCCGAAACACAAGCGAAGAGCATGAAAAATGGGTTAAATTTCTCTGACTCGACAACATTGGACTAGGGACTTGTGTGGCTAAATCTGAGCTTGGCACGTGTTAAACAGATGTTCTGGCTGTGAATTTCGGTGTCCCCATCAGTCACTTGGAGCCTGCAAAAACGATGGCCAGCGACCGGAAGGGTTCAGGACAAGCTTTGACCAGGGCAGCTCCGCTTGACCAACGACATGACCGATCGGTTCATCGTAGGACGGGTCGTGACGTCTCGAACAATCACTGCAAACTGCATCGGGGGCCAACTACGGGTGACAACCAACGTCCACGTGAACGAGAAGACGGTGAGGAACCGTCTCCGCTGAGCCAGGTTTGCTTATGGTATTCCTGCCAGGCATCCTAAGTAGCTCGCCGGGCGTGGTCTGCTCGCCATTTACAGTGGACACGACGACAGTGAAGACCTGCTAGTCTTCTCGGACGAATCCAGAATCAACCTGCTGCACGCAGACAAGTGCTCACGTCTCGAGGCGCCGAGGAGAGCGGTTCCGTCCCGATGCATCCAACTTTTGGCACGCTACGATCGAGGGTCCGTTCTTAAGTATGGAGGCTGCTCAGCTCACCACAGAACCCCCCTGTACCATATACTGGGCAATTTGACTGCGGCAAGGTACAAATACAGGAACGAAATCCGGCGTCCCTTTGCTGTTCCTCTCCTGCATGAGATTGGATCCCATGCTGTTCTGCAGGACGACAACGCCACGCCACGTCGCTCACGCATCATGGGGAACTTCTCTGCTATAGCGAGATGTCACCCGTATGGACTCACCAGCTTGTAGTCCGGATTTAAACTCAAAAGAGAACATATTGGGATTACGTTGACTGGCGGATAAGGGACAGCCACCCTCCTGCACAAAACCTTTAACAACTCTTGGGCTACCTCGTCCAGGTGTGGCAGAACCTACCACAACAAGTTCTCTAAAGGCATATCCTGTCCTTGCGTCGACGCTGTACCGAAGAGTTTGATCAAACGGGGTGGCTACATCCACTGTTGACAATGTTCATGAAGATCTATGACTGTTCAGACTTTGAAATCCGACCAATGTAATTTATACTCATTTTTCATGAACTTCTCGTTGTTGTTGAAATTTGAAATTGTACAGACACTTAATGTAGAGAGTCGAAAGCCTTTTTTTTTGGGGGGGGGGGGGTTGTTGTTTTTAAAAAAAGAATTAATCCGGTAAAACTGTCTTTCGGTTATCTTTCTTTGAATTTTTGTTCCTTGACTTTTTGTTCGAGTTTATATAGTATACCTTCTTACATATATGCACACATTATGTAGACTATGTATGAAAATTATACCAATATCTCCATAATATGCCCAAATTTAGCCGAGCACCTAATCCGACATAGGTACGACAAATATATGCGCGCGTGCGCGTGCGCGTGTGTGTGTCTATGTGTGTGTGTGTGTGTGTGTGTGTGTGTGTGTGTGTGTGTGTGTGTGTGTGTGTGTTTGTGTGTGTGTGTGCATGTGACGGTAAAATGATGATGTCTTTGTTTCTTAAACCTTTTTGATGTTTTGTAGATCATAACGCATTTAGCATTATCTGTCTACTTGAACGATGTTTGTTTCCTTTCTTATCCCACAGAGACAGAATGTAGAAAGTTCATCGCGACCCACAAATTGGAGGAAACCGTTGGTGGTAGGATCGTAAGCGCTGATCTTGTACAGAGGCTTACCAAACAAACCGGATACGGTCCAAATAAAGGAATCGGTTATGGTCCAGGTCGTGGAATCGGTTATGGTCCAAGTCATGGGATCGGTTATGGTCCAAGTCATGGAATCGGTTATGGTCCAAAAGGTAGTCGCAGCTACGCACCCGGTTATGGTCAAAGAATTGGCTATGGTTACAAATCCAGTTATGATCAAAATATTGGTTATGGCTACGGCAGCAGTAATAGTCGGGGCAGCGGCTATGGTCATGGCAATGGCTATGGTCAAGGATATGGTTACGGTTACGGAGGGGGGAGTCAGAACGGTGGTTTTGGTCAAAGAACCGGTTATGGTTATGGTTATGACGAATGCAAGGAGGGTGTTGGCTACTTCTTCAATGACAACAGATTCACCGTGACGCCTCTGTGTAACGCAGTGTTCAAGGTGTGCTACGAGCTGCCAGTGCCCACCACGGCACCTGCAACAACTGTTGGCCCCGGTAAGTTGTATAATTAATCAATTCAAGGCGATTATATCTGATGAGTCCATTCGTAAATAAGCAACTTAACTTCAGCTGAAATATTTTGAAATGGAGAAAGAAAAGATTCTATCAATGATCATTTTCTGATTGTTTATAGTATATTGCCTCCTACATTTCGTAGAAGCTTAATTTATCTGACGTACATGTATTAAATATCAATTGTAACACAAACGTTGTATCAGAAGTACTCAAACTGCAGAAACAGTTATATGTCATGATTACTTTTGCATTAACTGATATGGTGGGCACCTGATAATATATACTTCCAGACCTGCCACTCTATGAAATCTAAAAATCAGGATTTTAGAGTAAAAAAATAAGATAAGATAAGATAAGATGAGATAGTACTTTATTATCCCAGAGGGAAATTTTCCTTGGCTGTACAGGACCGTAAAAACACATGCAGGTATACATAAAACAATTAAATCATATATATTACTCTCATTAAAATTCAATATGAAAGGAGAAGTAAAGCTGACAAAATGTACATTTACATCAAATGCATCATTCAACCACATGCAGGAATTTAAATACTAGACCTTTGGAGTTATATGCAGATACATACTCTAAGAGCAACACACATCTATGCTCATTCTGACAAAAGCCTTATGCTAGATGGTAAAAAACTTATTTTATATCTTTCTTTCTTTGTTTTTGGAGGTACATATCTGCCGCTGCGTGATTTTACAATTTGTGTGGAAAAGGGGTGTGATGGGTCGTTTATAATGCTTTTTATCTTTTTTATACGTGTGGTGTTATACATTTCACCCATTCTTATAAAATCATATCCAGACATCTTGCTGGCTTTCTTAATGGTTCTGTCAATTTTTTCTTTATTTTTCCCCTTACAATTCTCAAATACAAAATAATAGCACACTTTCAATCATAGAATGGTAAAAAAAGGACATAATCTTAATGTCAACACGAAACTTTTTAATTTCCTTAAAAGAAACATTTTTTATTTACTTTTTTATGCACAAGAGCAGCGTGGGGATGCCAGTCCAGTTTGTTGGTCGATTGTTACACCAAGATACTTGTAAGAGCTTACCACCTCCACCTCTTCATCTTTAATAAATAGTGGTTGCAATTGGTCTTTTTTTTTTTTTACTCTAAAGTCCATTATTAATTCCTTTGCCTTTTTTACGTTTAGTATAAGGAAGTGATTATCACACCAATTTGTAAATAGATTCACAGCGTCCATTTATTCATTCTCATTTGTTGTTATTTGGCCTTGTAAAGTGAAATCATCCGC